TTGTAATTGTAAGGTTTATTAGTAGCATCCAGGTAGCTATTTTTATTCCCAAGTATTACTTCCATAATAAACACGGATCTTCTTGAAAGTTGAAACTTTAGAGGAGTAAGGGCTTTAGTTTCCTGAACTTGCATGCTAACTAAACACCTTTCTCTCTCCTTCCATTCGTTCTCTCGAGAAGAAAACTTGGGAGATGAGACAATTTTCTCCTAAGAAGAAAAGGACTTGAGAGAAGAGAAAAAATTATAGATTTCGTAAAATGTGCCCCAACCCCCCTTCCCCCCTCCCCTGCGGCTCTCTTCCCCTCATATGAGCGCGTTCAAGTATTCATTTAAGTACCCACCCATCTTTTCCTGAGGTTTTACAAGTACCGATGCATATTTGATTATAAAAATATGTATGTTGTATTAATAGTTGAATTTTGGCTGCTGCCAGGAGCCCGTCTCTGTTATCATATAGTCTCTGTTATCATATAGTTACGATGCCTATTTTCACCTTCTAACCCTAACCTTAAGCCTAAGGCTAGCACCCCTAACAAAAACATTTAAAGTTTGTTCTTCTAGTACAACTCTCAGCCTTGAACTTCACGAATGTCTAGTGACTCTTTTCTTATTAAATTATATTCCACAAAATAGCAAGTTTTTTTGGTCTACCTACACCTATAATCTTCGTGCGAAGAGCGTGAAATAGCTAATAATGAAGTGAAGCAGTAGCTTTCCAATTAGTAGCACTCAAAGATTTTACAACTATGTTGTATCATAATACTATCTAAGATAGTGTATGCTATGATGTGCTTTTACATAGAGTAGCACACCAATATGGTATTCAAACATGTAATTATTAGGTTTTTAATTCGGGTGCAACCTGAGAGGTCCCCTCCTGGAATTGTGAAAGTTTCACGCACAACGAACAAAAACTTATCGACTTGTTAGACAGATTGAAGTGAGTGCCTACCAATTAGACGTCCCAGAAGATAGAAGTATAAATCCAATCTTCGATGTCAAGGATCTCGTTCTATATCATAAGCCCATGGATTTTGTGACTTGTGATGCCACCGATGTTACACCACCAGTTCGTTTACCATTGACTCCTATGATGCCACTTGATATCAGGATTTTGATGATGGAGGTGCGTCGACTGCCGATGACGACATTCACAAATACCTTGTTCGTTGGCACATACATCAAGATTCAAATGTGATCCAGCAACTTGAACCGGAGCATCACTGTCACATGCATTCACCATGCATTCACCAGTGGTGAATTTCTCCAAGCTAGGGAGAGTTGACGGGGATCAAGATAAAATTATGATTAGTTTAGATTTAATTTTTAGTTAGTGTTTGATTTAAGTTTTAAGTCCTTCAAGATAGAATTCTTTTAGAATTTGAAATGTAGTAGGATAAGAGAAACCCTATATAAATATGGGTTGAGCTTTTCACTATTTTTCAGAGATTTAGATGAATAAAATTTGAGAGTTCGAGAAAATATATGAGTGACTTCAGAGAATAGGTGTTGAGAGTGATTCCAGCCTATTCTAAGTTTTATTATTTTTGTTTTCGTGTGATCAATCTCAGTCGTTCTTCTAATCTCAAAACCATTCTCCCAATTAATCTCTTCCATACATCAATATTAAACCTCTGCTACATCATCCCTCAAAATTCCTCTCCTGTGATTTTTTTTTCTTTCCACCTTCTCTGTTTCATGCGAGACAGAAGCTATGGATACAACTCCGCATCATTGTCATCTTCGAGCGAATACCAGATCCACCTAGAATTCATCTTCTTCAAGTAGCGAATACAAGAAGCCACCGCCCTCATCCACTTGTCTTCTTCCTCGTAACAACATAGATACAAGAAAACCTCGAACCAGCCCTCGACAACATCAGATTCCAACAAAAGAGCTTCAGGACATCATCAATTCCTTTCTATAGGTCCTACCATAGCTCATTCAAAGTTGAAAATCAAGGTTTGTGTTTAACAATCCGAAACTTGATTATATTTTGATTAGTTTAATTCATTGGTGTTCAATTCGAGAAGTCATTGCTCTTTGAAGTTTTGCAAGTTGTGCCAGAGTTATTTCACTGCCTTCGGTTTAATTCGAACTTATATTTTCATAGTTATAATCACTATTAGACATGTAGTTTTATTTATTGTCGGTTCATAATTTTATTATTTAATTATTTATAGTTAAATTCTGCTGATCTCTTGTGTTAATTTTGCATATGTATTACGTTGAGTTCATTAGATTACTTGTTTAGTAAAGCTCTATAAATTGTCCTGTGCCAGCAGGTCTATAAGACAAAATACCTGTTCTGTAATGCAGGCCATAGCTTCAATAACAAGAGCTACTACATCTGAGCGACGTATTGCACGAAATGCTCGGTTCACTGATAAGGCCTCGGTGGTGCTACCAGCTGAAGCTACTGCTGCTCTACGGCGAATGCCAGCAGTATCAATTAGTTTGAACTTCTGTAATACAATAACATTAAAAATTATCACTAAATTTACAGTTCATAAAAAATTTAACAATATGTACTTCAAAAACGCCTTTGGAACATTGTAGTTATTCCTGTCTTCATATAAAAGCCAAAAAATAAATTGCAAGGAGTTCTGTTTTCAAAGAAAAATGAAACAGAAACTTCCTTAAGAGAACTACCAGATTCCTGTTGGCAAGTTATGCTAGGAAAAGATGGAAATAGGAAATGAGGTGTCATTGATAGCAGACAATAGTCTCATATCAGAGATGAAACTGAAGTACTACAAAGGAGAGTTGAGATTCATGCTACAAATAAGAAAAGCATGTATCAGTATGGTAATTCAAAATACATCAGTGTTAGTTTCTAGAACATTAATATAAACTTAAGCATATATTATACACAATTAGAAGTACAAAAGTACATAGATGAATCATGAATAATGCATAATATAACAGAAGTATCTAAAATGACCAACCAGTGACAATTATTCCGTATTATTAGTAGACGAACCTGCCCATCTGGACCAGTAAATTCAGTATCAATTGCATCACGAGTTGTTCCACTGATTGGACTAACAATTGTTCTGTCTTCACCAACCAATGCATTCAATATGCTACTTTTTCCGACATTTGGCCTACCGACAATAGCAATAGAAGGCACATAGCTTTCTTCTTGTTCTTCTCCATACTTTTCAGTGTCCTGCGGAGCCTGCAATTGCACCATTACTATTAAACCAAACTATAATATAAAAAAGATGGCTGCATAAATTATGTAAGCTGTTAAAAGAACCACAGCAGTACACCTGCAGGATCGAACAAGAAACTACAATATAAAATTTTTATAATGAATATGAACACTTCCTTAGGGCTCAGAAGAGGTATTTGGATATTGAAAGAGGTGCTTGCTAGTGATGGGAGAGGTTAAAAGTTCATTACGCTCCAAGAATGATGAAGGATTTTTCTCCCATGCTAAGGTGAGGGCAGAAGTTATTCATTCTTATTATTCCAAAAAAGATATCTAGTTGTGGGTCCAGCAAATTAAAGTTTGCTGTGTTTTTAATGCATAGATCATCCATAAATATGAGGCCTTTTTGATGAATGATACTTTGCCTTAAAGAACTAGCCAGACACCATAGCTATCAAAAAATTATTGACCATTATTTTGCTAAAAGAAATCAAATAAAACAGAAGCAGCCAAATAAATAAAAAATTTAATTATTTCTATAAAATCCATTACAAAAATCATAATTCATATATCGGACTAAATTCCAAAATGAATATATTGGGCCAGCATACCTCAATTTTATTCAGGTCCGCACAAACAAGATCGAGAAGCTCTCCAGTTCCAGTGCCCGAAATGGCGGATATCGGCATAGGAGACAACCTGACAAGTATACTCAATAACTTATTACATCTGTTACATGTATGTAAAGTGTAAACACATATCACATACCAATGCTTAGTACAGTCAGCTTCTGCTTATATGAACAGATTTTAGCACATGATGAAAGAATATAACATTGTAATTATTTAAGGGAAGCTGACTGTACTATTCAAAGAATTGTATAATCAGCAGATCTTCTGATATCCAAATTCATGATCGTTCATGAGGCACATTACAGAGAAGCCAATCTGCATAAAATTAACTTCAAATTTTCCATCATCATATTGGATTTCTCTCTAAAGCCAATCTACATAAATTTAACTTCAAAATTTCCATCGTCATATTGAACTTCTCTCAACTATCCTTTTGCTTCTGAAGTATCTTCACAACAGCTAACAGATCTATGTTTGAGTTAAGTGTCCTCCAAAGAAAATGAAGTTAGTTTGTCATCGAAATTTGACGTGACCACACACATTGGAGTCTTGAAGATGATAGAAACCTTATGGGCTTTTCAAGAATGCTAAGAGGTATTACCTATGATATGCATGACATTTCTTTCAATCCAACAAAAGATTGGCGTCCCGGAACAACTCGACATAACAAGCATGTCCATCCATGTTTGAAGATTTTTATATAAGATGGACTTAATTGTGCCTTTTTGGGACAAAAGCTGATTATGTTGTATATTGTTTTATAAAGTTGGGTTCTTTCATATAAGAATAGTAATATCAATTTTGTTGTAGAGAAATAGAGAGATAAAGTTGTTTATTCATCTAATCCTAAACTCTTTTAAAAAGAGATTAGGAGATATTATAAAATAGGTATGAGATAAATCCATATCAAATCACATCTCACAATATCTCAACAATATCTCATAATATGTACTAGTTTTAAATACTAATAATATCTAACACTTCCCCTCAAACTGGAACATATATTCAATATGTTAGGAATCTTGACCCCAAGATTAGTTTGTTTTGATGATAACAAATATTATATGTTGTGTGTATTATGTGCTAACATTTGTTTTGCAGTATCAGAGCTATATCAATAATTATATTCAAAGAGATACTCAAGACATAGATGAGTTCAAGGCAAAATGAAGCAAAGAAGAAGATATACTTTATTGTCAAAATGTAATTTTATATTTTCTTTGCTTAGAAATTTGTACAAGCCTTGATCACTCACACACATGCACACACATAGTGTTAGAACACACTAACACATGCTTAATGCGTTGGTTAACAATAGAAATCCCCTATGTTAGCCATTAGAGTTTATAAATATTGGGTGAGTCTTAAAACATTTCATTTACATCCCTTAGCAATTAGAATCTGGAAAAACTCAAAAGATCAAAGCTGTAGGTCTCTTCAAGAGCTTTCCAACGAATCTTAAATCACCTCATTCTGATATCGGATGAGAAAGTTACAGTCAAAATACTAAATAGAAAAATTCCAGAATCTGAGTTTACAGTGTAGTCGACTACTATGCCTTGTAGTCGACTACTAAGCAATTTTCTGACTTCACAGAGTCTGTTTAGACTCAGTGTAGTCGACTATTATGACTTGTAGTCGATTACAGATGCAGTTTTTCCAGGTTTCAGGTTTAAAATAAGTGACTGTTTATAGCCGTTTTGTGGACGTTAATTGGGTTTAAAATTATGTCATTTCAGAGGCTATAAATAGGTTTAAACATCAGAAAACAACAACTAAGTTTTGCACTTGCAAGATCAAACATTTTGTGCATATTCACTCTCTAATTTTCCAGATTTTCATGCTAAGTGTTTAGAAAAAGAGAGTTTCTGATATTGCCTTGGTTTCAATCATTCTTAGAGATTGTATAGGCAATATTCAGAGAGTTAAAAGAATCCTAAGCCACTGCAGCACTTCACTACACATTCAAGGCTTATAGGATCAATTGTGTTCTTGCTTCAAAAAGGATTTCTCTCGGGTTTGAGAGGGTTGATCTCTTGGTTTAGAGATTGGGTGGCAATTGGCATGGTCTTGTCAATTGGTGTTGTAATTTGCATGGTCTTGCAAATTGGTCAGGTTTGCTTTTGATTTTGTAAGGTTTCAAAATTATAGTGGAAATCTCAAGCGGGATTTGCTTGGGGACTGGATGTACACCGGGGAGGTGGAACCAGTATACATGCTTGTGTTTGTGATGTTTATTTTCTGAGATTGCCATTCTTTCTTTGCAATTTATAATATACTTTGCAAACTCACCCTCTAGTGTTTAAGTGTAAAGCTTCCGCAGATTTTTATAAGAGCGCACTCTATTCTTAAGGGTCACGATCCTACACTTGGTATACATAAGCAAAACAGGACCCTACACAATATATGTCTAGCTTGTTACAAATGGAAATAGAATGACTAGTTGCAAGAGTTTTGGTAATATGTACATGCTCAGAATACTTAAAGATACCAGCGATCAGAAAAGTGTAGTCACAACAAGAAGAAACTCACCTAAAACTAGTAGAAACCTTAGGCAAGTAAGCCGATAGAAACACCCTTGGCGGGTAAGCCAGTAGAATCACCCTACGCGGGTGAGCCAGTAGAAAACCTAAACGGGTATGTCAGTAGAATCCCCAGATGGGTACGGCAGTAGAATCCTAGGCGAGTTAGTCAACAAAGAGAAAACCTAGGCAGGTCAATCGGTAGAGAGAATTCCTAGGCAAGCCAACCAATAGAAGCAACATCGAAGTCAACTACGTACTTTTGTATCCAATCATCAGAAGATGACTGTACACGAGTGGTATTGTTCATCAACAAACAGTACCTGTGATGAACATTGTCTTTTTCCCTTTTGAGGTTAGGGTCTCTCAAGGGTAGGGTTTTTTATTAAAGTTCAACAATGATTTAGTAAACAAATGTTCAGAAATAAAAAATGTTGTCATAGCCGCCAAGAGGAGCATGAAAGCTACGTAATACCCCCTCGACGGCCTCAAGTTTAGAAAGATAAGAAAAATGGTTAGGATCGAGTAGGCTCTGATCCTATGAGAGGCAAATGTGTTTATTCATCTAACTCTAACCTCTCTTAAATATATATTAGGAGGATATTACAAAATATGTATGAGATAAAATCATATCAAATCACATATTCTCATAACATCTACTAGATCTAAATGCTAATAATATCTAACAAATTTATATTGTCAAGTATATATAAAGCCGAGTGAAACACACATAGTTGTGCCTTGTATCCGATATTTTGACAATTACCATATTCAACTCCTTGCATCCGTGTAGGAGCACGATACTCGTGTACATGTCTACTAATCAAGGGGTATTACCTTATTAACCATGTAACATCAGTTCGGCACTTCTATTTCTTCATCTGACAACGTTGCATCTTTTTTTATCTGCTTTAAGAATCTATACTACATATTTAAGATGCCACCTTCTGTCTGTGAGACGTCTTTAGAATTCTATAAATACCCTCCCACTTGGAGGGGGAAAAAGGAAATGTACTCATATTTGAAGGAAAAAAAAGAAATTCTCTCACACCTAGAAAATTGAGTGCAATGCCCTCAAACTTTGATTTTAATCAAAGGAAATGTCATCACACTTGGGAGGAAAAAAAAATAATATATTGTTTATTCCCTGGACAATTCAACTCCAATTCAGCATCATGCACACATCGGTTGCACTGAAAGACTAGTAATTAATTTTTCTTACGAGTAAAGCATATTCCTTCTCGGAGCACATTAACAAATACTTTCCAAGAAGAGGAATCACAAGTGACCTTTCTCAAGACTATTAGATGGTTTCGCGTAGAACGTACCATATTAGAATTGTGCACGTAAAATGGAGTTCTTCGTGCAGTGTGATACACAGATGACAATTCCCAACCAAAGTAAAGTACTTTCATGGACACAACGGCAATTACACTCCTATTAAAAGTGTTATGTATGTTATTTTCCACTCTGATTTATGACCTACTGTTTGCCAGAGATATAGTAAGTCTTCAGTTTGGAATGTAGTTGTTTCTTACATTACCCCCTTTTGAAAAAAGCCTAGGGTATAGATGATTGACTCGAGAAAGCAGAAATATCATAAACGATTTTTGTGCATGAGTCTTGTAACTCTAATCTACTAAGTCTTTTTTTGTATCCGGAACATAGAAAAGAAACCTTCACCTTTTCCTCTACTAATGTGGAGTTACATAATGAGAGGCACATAACATGATGCTCCAAAACTTACCCTAAGGACCAAAATTCTGACGCTTGCATTAGTCCTTTACGTGGAGACTCACATTTGTTCACGGCAAGGATGATGCATTTATCAGAATGACTTTTTCGCAACCAATCTGCAATTTCCACGTCAGCAGCCATTAGTCCTGCCTGCTCAAAAATCGTCTTTCATTAGAGAAGAAAGAACCATGTGCGCCATCAACAAATCAAATGTACCAATTGAAGTGAATAAGGATAATTATGAACATTTTAAGTGCAGTAGGTATCAAAATTTTCATAGTTCAAACGAATCATAAGTTTGCTTGCTCATAGATGAGTGAACAGAAAATTCAACAAGGCGAGTGATGGAGGGGTGCATACGGTCCTTATACGGCTCGGATATGATACTAATCATATTTGTATCGGCTTGCCTCACGGATACAGATACGGATATGTCTCGGTAAGGAAGTTCCATATCCATAGCCACTATCAGAGACAGATACGGATATACATGCGAATATTTAAGCAAATATACATGTAGACATGCGCGCATGCTCGTGTGAACATAAAATGGATATGAGAAAACTAGATAATACTGAACACACACACATATATAGTTCATATGATACAAGAGAGTTTATTAATATGTCTGTTATATCTGAAAAAGCAAAGATTAGATCTCTTGATAATTAAAATTAACCCAAAATCCATTAACATAAGGTTTAAAACTATTACAATTGTATGCCCAGCATATATTAAGATATTTTGGATATGAATACACACACATATCTGAAAAGGCAAAGATTAGATCTCTTGATAATTAAAATTAACCCAAAATCCATTACTATAAGGTTTAAAACTATTACAATTGTATGCCCAACATATATTCAGATATTTCGGATATGGACACACACACATATATTTAGATATTTCGGATATGGATACACAGTTACACACACACATATCTGAAAAGGCAAAGATTAGATCTCTTGATAATTAAAATTAACCCAAAATCCATTAATATAAGGTTTAAAACTATTACAATTGTATGCCCAACATATATTCAGATATTTCTGATATGGACACACACACACACACACACACACACACACACACACACACATATATATATATATATATATATATATATATATATATATTTCATATGATACAAGAGAGTTTATTAATATGTCTGTTATATCTAAAAAGGCAAAGATTAGATCTCTTGATAATTAAAATTAACCTAAAATCCATTAATATAAGGTTTAAAACTATTACAATTGTATGCCCAACATATATTCAGATATTTTAGATATGGATCCCGATATTTCACAACATATCTGTATCCGTAACCATATCCTATCAGATATAGACTCTAGTAACCATAGCCGCAACCTAACAAATACAGATATTTCCTCGAATATAGTGATATACAATTGTCTAAAAGCCAGATGTGAAGCAGACACAACCCACAACATGACGAACAATGATGGCTAGATTCGTTGCAATCGACCAATATGCTCGATTAGTTAGCATAACCTCGGTAATGGTATATGAAATACATCATGGGAACATCTAATGTGATTGACTTCAATATGACACAGCATCACTCATAAGGTTGCCTTGTATGGAGAAACCCACAAAACCACAAACTCCAAACTCCAAACTCAGAGATAATTGGATATATCATATATCCATGTCTGAAGATTACAACTTGGGATTGAAAGGAAATAAATTTGAACAACTCCAAGCCATATGTCTGAACCATATTCCGATTTTCTAGCAGGAACAGCAAAATCCTATAATCAGATTTCTGTTTGATCTCAAATTGGGAGAGATCTTGCTTCTGAAAGTATCTTAATTGATCCAGGATCATATTCAAATTCATTATCCCTACTTTTATACTGAGTCAAAATGGATTCTCTTACTGTGTCAACAGGAATGACAACATAGAGGATTCAGAGATTTCAGATGGAATTTTCTGATAATCCTTGAATACTCCAATGTTTTGGTTGGCAGATTAAAAACGATAAAGAATAAAATATGTCAGTGCATGAAGAACGTTGTTTGATTCTGGGACCTAAGTCTTTCTGCAACTCAAGATCTTGGACCTGGCTTTTGCAGCTACGTTTTGCTTGGTACTTCGGCTCCCAGGCTAGTCAGACTTCTATATAGAAAGACCTTTAAGAATAGTTAGTTCCACTAATTTCTTGTTCTTCGACATAATTCACAAATCATATTCAGATTATTTCGCAATGCACAACCTTAAACAAAGCATTTCGACCTTCAGTTGATCATAAAAGTCAGATTGGCAATCAAAATAAAAGAAAACATTGTTTCAACCAAGTCCTGCAATCTTGAAAATCACAGATCGGCGACCTCTGATAAGAGAATCTCAATGCTAGAGACAAAAAAAAAATAAAGAAAACAAAATTCATTCCAAGTGGTGCTAGTATATCCCCCTCCTGGTGCTAATGTCAAAAGCTCTCTCATAGTGCTAAATCAAGTAGCATTGACTGGTTCACAATTTTGTCAATATAGATATTCGGACAAAAAACATAATACATGATAATTTCTTAAACCTTTCATTTCAAAATTTAGTAACCAAGTTAGATCTATTTGCTTCCAAAGTACTGATTAACATTTTAATAGATGTTGTAGTTACTTCAGTCTGAACACTATGACAACTCTACTACTCCCGTTCAGGGAAACAATTGAACAATAAAAGAACAATACATAAGTTCCAGATATGTCTTAACATTACAAGATACCTGGCCATCCACTAGGAATATAATAACAGCTGCTTCTTCAACAGCAGCAGCAGCTTGTCTCTCTATCATTGATGGCATCCTTGCAACAGCTGCTTCCCTTGTGGCAAGAGGAATCCCATCCATACCAACTGTAGTTGTAATTGCTAGTTCTTCCATAACATCATCCTGAGACTTGGAAAAAGTCATGACGCCCCCAGTATCTACTACCATAAAATGACAATCACCCCAAAAAGATCTTCCATACAATCGATCTCTAGTAACGCCAGGTTCATCAACAACAATAGCCCTGTTTCCCTTTAACCATTTGAAAAATTAGACTGCATAAACATTTCCTCGAAAAGATCTAACTTAGATTGTAAGAATATATTGAACCATTGAATATGTGATAAATGAAAAGTAAGTATAACGTCATAGAAAGATACCCCAACAAGACGGTTGAATAATGCTGATTTGCCAACATTTGGTCGTCCAACTATTGTGACCTTTGGAAGAAGATGGTCAGGGACCTGAAAATTGAGAGGTAAATATTTTGCATCATATTATTCGTCAATTCAGCCATGGATACACTCAGAACAAAAGGGAAACAGTTAATAATGATGACAATAAACATTGCATTGCGAAGAACTAAAAACACATTTACTACCTTCAGCTACCAAATACAAACCAACAAGTACAGTAACAAATTAATTTAAGGCCTAATCACATAGGCTCTCTTATCATGGAATTCTCAATATATTTAGGAAAGTTGACCTTGATAATCAAAAGAAATCACCAAATATCCTTCATAAGAAGCTGCAGCTAAAGATAGATTGCTACATTACAGTTCCAGCATGGCATAAAAAAACAAGAGCCTATGCTGGCTCTCTGGAATATATCATCTCTTAAAGGTGAATAGCATTCCCTCTAGCATATATTATCATCTCAACATTTTCTAGACTGTTTCAGGGGTAGGAGAATTAGTGTGGGTTGTGTGCTAGTTGCATAAGCTTACACCTACACAACCAAGGTACTTTTTCCTACTTGCAAGTTGTCCTATTAAGTTTCATGGCAAGACCTTCTGGTGCTAATAATTTTCATAGGCAGGAGTAGCGCATGAAAACAGTAAGTTTCACGGCAAGACCTTCTGGTGCTAATAATTTTCTTAGGTAGGAGTAGAGCATGAAAACAGAAAATTTATTCAAGACAAGCATGTGATTTTAGTCAACCAAGTTGAACAGATTACTCAGTGCTTTTCATGAAATATCAGAGTCCATACGATAAAGTATGTACTTTCACCCAGTAGATTCAAATAGATTGGTCAACTACTGACAATCGGATATTCATTGAAAATTTATGGACAAATCATAACTGGACACGTGAAAAAATTCAAATCCCACATCCAATTTCTTGGCTGTAATCCCTTACATATTTTCTTTTGATGATAAAGCCTAAAAGATGTTGCCAAGACCCTCATTTTCTATTTTAAACATCTCAGGAATGGTTCACAAGTGTCAGGAGTACTGTATTCTCGTAGATTGTCATTAGACTTCAATACAAAACATAAGCATCCGGTTCAGTCCGTTATACTCAGATCAGATTGATTCCATTCAAACACTAAATAAAGTGAAGAACATCAAATTTGAGTCCAGAAGGCCAGGAAACATGATAACGATTTAAGACTATTATCAGCCACAAGAAGAAGTATGCAAACCAACAATTTTCTCAGGATTGAGATTTTGAGATCATACAGGGGTGCAAGTTGACCCCAAATGATAAACTTGGATGTTTCTCAAAGTTAAGATTGCACACCTTGATTACCATGATTAAAGTATAATAAAAAATAACCAACTCCAGAAAAATAAAAACATAAAGGAAACAAAGAAAATTCCGAATGGCTAAACTTTAAGACACAACCCCCAACAATGAAAACTACAAAACGATAGGAGTTCCCTATATTAAAGGGAATAAAATCATCATAAAGAATTAATAAAAAATAATGTACTATAGAAATAAGATATACTAATTAAGAAAGTTTACCCTCAACTGAAAGAGCAATTGAATGATATAAGTCACTACAACAAAAGTTGTAACTTTGTGATACTCTTTTTGTCACCTTGAGTCACATTTTCTGTATCCCATAAATGAAGCGTGACACAAGTCGATAGTGTGGGTAGAGCACGTGCAGAGAGGGAAGTTCTACATATGCGGGAATTTGTTGCAAAACTCACGACATATATGGGCGAAGCATTGTGACATATACATGTTTTGAGAGTTGCGACACATATCTGTATCATGTTCCAATTTTCTTGTTTTTCATGTCAGTTCATATCCTTTATAGGGATCAACTTCCTGCACTTTTTTTCCTCAATCAAACGTCACTTAACTGAATCGCCACTAACATCCCACCAGCTTTGAAGGCACATACGCTCTTTATATTCCTACCCAAACTAGTGGAAATGTGAATTCCACAAAATTATTTTTACATGGCTTGTTCTTAACTGAGCGATGTGGGACTAAAGAACAAGTTCATCTCGATCAAGTGCTCCAATGAAAGATGAAACGCTTTTTCCACTTTTGTTTTATTTTGTATCTAACAACATAAATGTGTCATGGCTAGTGACATTTTTTACTTGTATCAGGTTTTTTTTTTTTTTTTTCAATTAACAAATTAACAGAACACTTCTACGGGTGCCGTAAAACAAGTGGGGGCATATGCAACTATTGTTGTAGTGAGTAGAACTGTAGAAGAGAACTAACACCTGAAAGTACTGCAAAGAAGAAAACATGATTCAACAAAAGAATTACCAAAGAAAATTAAAGTAATAATAAATCAAATTAAGAATCTATAAAAATAAATGTACAGGAATAAGACAAACTAGTTAAGGAAGTTTATTTTAAACCGAGGGAGTATAGAAATAAGAAAAGTAACACCTGAAAAAAATTATGCAATTATAACCTGGAGTATAATAACTAGAGACAAGGAAGAAGGATTTCTCTTAAAAAAAGAAACAATGGTGGCTTTTTACGATCATCAACCTCTCCCTCCCTGCACCTCCAAAAATATGAAGGGGGTGGGGGGGGGGGGGGAAGGGGGGGGGGGGGGGGGGCAGAACAGACGAGAAGAAGAACATAAAGGTCAATAGATACATGCAAGTATAATACAATGAAATCAACACTACAATATGGGAGGTACAAGAAGCTGCATTTAGAATTTCTAGCCTGGAAGCCTTATTGTGTAAAAATAATAATAACTTATTATATAGATTAGTCTAGCTATAGTATAACTATATAGTAAATTTCCACGTTCTTTGTCCATTTATCCTAGAAATATATGTGCTCACTATGAAGGTCAATTCATAAAAAGTTCAGAATGCTGCCTAGTTATATTAGCATGAGGATTGGCATACATAACAAAGCATACTAACGGAGAAAGACTCACGGTATAGCTTTCTTAGTTGGGGGTTTATCTGTTAAATCTTACTGAAGAAACTAATGCATTTCACTATTGTTATGTTACATATAGAACTACATGCATACATATCAAAGCATACTAACAGGGAAAGACTCACAGCTGAAGACATACTTACACCACCGCTCGGAGTTCTTTGGCGCTTTTGCTTCTTGCGAGTTTCATTTTTCTCACGCGTTCCATCCTCTAGAAGTATTAGAAATAGTAAGAAACTAAATATCCAGAAGAAAGACAAATAGACAACAGCATCATAAGCAGAGCCCAATATTCCTACATTCTCCTACGTTGACATCCTAAACAACATGTTCAGTTAGTGCTCATTCGTTATGAAAATGCTCCAGAGTCTCTCGGAGAACATCGGCAATAAACTATCCAATTATAGGTTTACACCACTATGACATTTTAGTTGTATTTTTAAGATTTAGTATAATGAAAATAATCTAAAAACGGACAAACAAAAGATCTAGAAATTCTGATTATGTAGCTTAAGCTAAGCAACAAAGGAGCGAGCCTCCATGTCCGCCTAAACCAAGAGAGAGAGAGAGCCTGAGATAACCATTTGAACTATAGACACGCGCTCACCTCCAGGACAAAAGCCAAGAGGTAACGGCGAAGATTTGAAAACTTGCATAGATCGGGAGACATAACATGAGAAATACATCCTCAACATGGTGTCCTACGACACCTAGTATTCTATAGAAGATTTCAACACTAGAAAGGACACCATTACCCAAAAAAAAAGACATAACTTCGATCGTCAAAATACTCAAAGAAACATAAAATCCTTTACCTATCCCCAGTTGACGAGACAAAGAGAGGGAGTAATCTCTAACAACATCCCTCGCCTCCTCTTCCATCGATTCAAAATCAAGCAGATCTTCATCCTCCTCCTCCTCCTCCTCACTCCCTTCCACCTCGGATTCCTTACCCTCGCCCTCCCTGAGGGCAGAATTGACAGCAAAATGCTTGAAATTTCGTCGGAGAGTGAAGGGCGAGTGAGAGGAAAGGAGGGGGCTTGGGGCTCTGTGGAGGGTTAGAGAGAGGAGGAGGGTTTTGGGGAGGCGGGGAGGGGTTTGGATTGGGTTAGATGGGATTGAGGCGAAATTGAGAGAAGCGGGAGCTGAAGCCATCGGAGCATGAGTAGAACCAGGATAGAAAGTTTCCTATTTTATCCGCTCAAAAATATCTCCGTTTAAAAGCGGGGACTGTAGGGCTGTTAATCGGTTTGAATGGTGCGGTTAATAGATGGTGCGGTTAATAGGTGACACCAAACACTAAACCGATCTATTTTTTCGGTTTGGTTCGGTTTGGTTTTTCACTATTTTTTTTAAAAACCAATTGTGTTCGGTTTAGTTCGGTTCGGTTTTTCTCTGGTTTATATCGGGTTTTTTTCGGTTATTCTATAAAGAAAACAAGTCTAGAAAAGTAGAAAGTAGAAATGTCTCATATTACATAACCGTTTCCGAAAAAAGCGATGAAAAACTAGAATAGCAGAAAGATGATAGATCAGAAGAACAAGATCAATTACCGACCACTTGTTTGTAGTTGTAAATTTATGGATCCAGGTTTTTTTTCCCCATAGAATTAGAAGAACAAGATCTTCAGAAGACATTGGAGTGTACATGCGTCTTGCTAAAGAATCATAACACTTTTTTCCACACAACAGAGGGTAGTTCTCTTCATACGTGAGGTTCTCTGGTAGAATGCTATTGTTTCCAACAACTTGCACATGTACCAATGACATCTCTATTTTCCATTGTTCTAAGGGTGTGTTTGGTTAGTATTTAGCAAGAAAGAAAAAGAAAAAGAAAAAAAAACATGAGAAATGTGGTTTCTGGGACCTGACTATGTTGCCACATAAGATTTTAGTTTCCAATTGATCCATTTCCCTTGTTTGCTTCGGTTTTGGTTTCCCGTAAGCTGAGCCGGGTCAGTAAAATGTAAATTCCATTCAGACCAAAATGGGAATAAAATAACTTTTCGGTTTTTCGGTTCGGTTTCGGTTTCCAGACATTCGAAACCAAAACCACACCAAACCTTTCGGTTTTCGGTTATTTTTTTCGATTTGGTGCGGTTTTTTTCTTTCCTCGGTTTTTTCGGTTATGGTTCGGCTTTGGTGTGGTTATTTTTTCGGTTATCGGTTTTTAAGTTACAGCCCTAGCGGGGAGACAAAATTATCGGTATATCTTAGACCATTGCACTAAAATGGTGCAAATTTTGCATCAAAATAATACAAAAGTCATATCAAACAGTAATACATCTCTAACCAATTGCATCATTTTTTACACCAAAAAAGAATATTCTCAGTATATTCTTAGTTTATTCCCTTTTATCTATTTTTATATTAATTAAGAGGTAAAAATAAATAGTTAAATTTTTTTTTAAAAATGTGAACAGTAATACCGCGGATGAACAGTGTGACGCCATATTTGGTGCAACAATGTTCAAATGCACCAAAATGGAGCAAGAAATGGGGCATGATTGGAGAAGGAACAGTGTAAAAAAATACACTGTTTGCACCATTTTGGTGATGGGTTGGAGATGCCCTTAGGCTTAACTACACTTAAATACCCTACAGTTTTTCTAACTTTGCACTTATATACCCCCTCAGTTGCTTTTGGCTGCAGTTATATACCTTAAAGTTCCTTAAATTTGCATTTTAATACTTCAGTTATGGAATATGAGAATTTTCTTATTTGACGCATACATGTTAATTTTGAAACATTTTAATTCTTCATATTTGCTAAATTTACCATTAAACCTACCAAATGCTATTCTAAAATAGAAATAGAGTAGGTATAAAATATAATTAGAGAAGTTTTAGCAGTAAATTAACGTAAATAGAGGATTTATAATTTTTAAAAAGGATTTAAAAGTTCTAAATTAGCGTCAATATCGCATAAGAATTTCCGGGGGACATTCTTGCAGTTGCTAGCTGAGGATATCTAAGTGCAAATCTTTAACAAATTTAGGATATATAATTGCTGCCAAAAACAAGTGAGATTATGCAAGTGCAAAGTAACAAAAAACTATGGGTGTGTTTAAGCACCATTAAGCCTTTTCCAGTATATATAGAGATTTCTAAGCAATGGCTTAATTGCACTTAAATACCCTATAATTTCTTCTACTTTGAACTTACATACCTTCATTTATTTTTGGCAACACTTATATACCCTAAAGTTTTTAAAACTTGCACTTGTATACCCTCATTTATTTTGGCAGCAGCTATACATTCTAAGTTTTAAAAGCTTGCACTTAAATACCTCAATTATGCAAAATTAAGTATATTTAAGCGCAAATTTTAAATACTTTCGATTATTTCATTGCAAATTTTTAGAAATTTTAGGGTATATGAGGATGACCGTAAACAAGTGAAGGTATATATAAGTAAAAGTTTTAAAAACTTTAGCTATGTAACTGTTGCCAAAAACAAGGGAGTGTGTACGTGCAAAGCAAGAGAAAATATAAGGTATTTAAGCGCAATTAAGCCTCTACACAATACTAGATATACCTTTTTAAAATTATAAAACTTTTTCCCTTCTTCCTAAGGTATCACCAAGGATGCATGAAATAAGCATCAATATAAGTGAACATCTAAGAAAAATGAGGCAAAACTAATAAAATTTAGTCAAACCGTAATTAAATTAATACTTATTAATATGGAGACTTATTTAAGAGAAGGTGCTTATCAATTTTACGCTTACTTATAATATATGAGATTTGAGAGACTTGTTTAAAAACAGATTGTTAGCCTTCTTGTTTTGATGATGTTTAACAAACAATTTACCACTAATGTTGTTTGTCTAGTATTTGTGTTTTCTTATTTATTGTAGACAAACAACGTTGTTGGAGGATGGATGGAATAGAGCTTCAACGATCATATCCAAAGGAGGTTGGCGGAATGTCGGTGAAGCCTTGCTATTCAAAGTTCAAGATCCAAGTTCAAGCTTCATCCGCGAGATTACCAAGTCAAGCTTATTGAAGATCAAGATCATTGCTTGGGTAATTTAGTTTAGGAATTTATATTATGTGTGTTAGTACTTTAAGCTCAATCATATACACACATACACGTTTTGGTTTTTGTATATATATAGTTATATATATACATATATGTTTTGGTTTGATAGTTTTCAAGTTTTACTATGAAACAATTGAATATAATTAGAAAACATATTTTTGTTTCATACTCATATGCATATATATGATTTCATCAATATCAATTTTAGTTAGTTAAATGAAATCATGTTTTAGTGCATTATACGTGTATTTTGATAAAATACTACATTCATTGTTTATAGACTTCATAACAATAGTTTACATCTTTCTTCAAGTCTATAAAATCATTTTGTAAAGTTTCAAAAGTTGGTTTAGCCAAAATGTCAAAATTCACATGTTTACATTTTCGTGTTTTGGACTATCTTGCAAAATGATGATATTTTTCATTTGGGAAGTCCTTTTTCGAACCAGTCGCTGTAGCATGTTTATTATCATGTCTACAATCATTCCCCAAAGTTTTACATTTTTTGGAATTTATTTGATATTTTTAAACAGGGTTTTAAAATCAGAAAACAACTTTCAAAACTTGGTCTTTTTGTAAGGGGTTTTGGTCTGAGGTTTTGGAGGCTATAAAAACCCTCTTTGATCTCAATTTTCAGTAATCCAAGAGAGTTTTAAAAACAAGTTTAAGAAAGTTTTAATCAAGGGTTTATGTTTGGTTTAAGTGTGTTTATAAGCTTTTAAGCATTTGAGTGTTTTCGTTTTGTGAATCACTTCCACAAGAGCTTGGGGAGATCATCTATTGGTGTTTGAGCATCCAACTCTTCTCCTTCCACTCTTGATCTATTGAGAAGTTTTCTAAACTCAATCTAGCTTTATATTTCATATTGTTTGATTATCATTTTATTAAGCTAGTGTTTATATTGAGTTTAGTTGATTTTATTTATTCTTTGTTCACACACAACCTATTGAGCTTATTGTATTTACATTCATAGTATAATTTAGGGTTGTGGGTTTGTGACATTGAGAGTGAGCTTAATTGAATTCTCATCTTGTTTAGAGAACAATCAGTTGATTTATATTGTGCCTAATTGTGAGGATTTACTTGTAATACACTTGTACACCGAGAGAAGTGTGTGGTGAGAGACGGGGTCGAATCCAAGAGGAGTGGCGTCGGTTGACATGCCTAGGGAGAGGTTGTAACCGAGCACTTGAGGAGAAGGACACGGGCTAGGACCAACACTTAGTGTGTGAGGTGTGATTGCATAGTGATTGTATTGTGAGGTGTAAACGTTGTTCGGGTAAACGTAGAACACCCGGTTGAGATAGTGGAGATCTCCTCGAGGTGAGGAGCGGAGACGTAGGTCGTGGGGACCGAACTCCGTAATCATATTGTTTGTTTGTGATTGCATTGGCGCACTTACTTTTATGTTCTTATCTTATATCGCCTTTGTATATTGCTTGTTGATTATATTGCACACTATCTAGTTTAGATTGTTTACCCTTGAGATTATATATCCTTGCATATATTTCACTATATACCTCTTTGCTAGGATATATCATATTGTATATTGCTTATCCTATTTCATATATATTGGTGCATTTCATACTTGCTAGGATAACTTGTTAATTAATTTTTAAATTGGCATATAATCGGATTAGATTAGCATAAGACCCTAATCACCCCCCCTCTAGGGTCTAACACAGATAAGATTTTGGGGGACAATATATGAAAAACTCTAGAGATATATGATTATACATGAGGATTTGAAAAATCATGGAAAGTAATTTTGAAAAGAAAACATTGAGAAGAGAGCTTTGCTACAGGGACCCAAAATATGAGACCAATCGAGGGGACAAGTGAGGTGTCTCCCTCCTATTGGATAATGAGTTGGTCATCATTAATGATGGCCAACTCATTATCCAATAGGAGGGAGACACCTCACTTGTCCCCTCTATTGGTCCCATATTTTGGGTCATTGAGGAATTTTTCTTGAGAAGATCCAATGTGAAGACAATTGTAAATTGTCGAATACACAAACTCCCATTAATTTTCTTTTATTTTAAGGGGTAGTTTTGTTTGATAAATGGAACGCAGCAAATGATGAAGTTAAATTTCTCCTTTCATTTTTAACCAATTAGATGGAAAATTTGATTAATTATATTTTTAAGCTG